CGTTGCTCATTTGCACGTGCGCGCCTGTCTGTCACACATATTGACTCATATATGAAGTGTGTAAGGGAGGATGGGGGGGGGGGGGGGCGATAGGGTACGGAATCTTGGGGGGGGGGGGGGGAGATAGGATATTAACTGTATGACCACAGCAAGATCGCTATATCCTGGTTTGGGATCACTTATCCTATTTGGAGATAGGAGGAGGAGGAGGAGGAGGAGGAGGACGAAGAGAGACGAGATGGGACAGGAAGATAGGGAGGAGGGGGGGGGGGGAGGAGGAGGAGGAGGAGGAGGAAGGAGAAGAGGAGGAGGAGGAGGAAGGAGAAGAGGAAGAGGAAGAAAAGGAAGAGGAAGAAAAGGAAGGGGAGAGGAAGATGGAGCTAGAGGAGGAAGAGGTAGAGTAGGAAAGGTTAGGGATAGGAGGAGGAAGAGGAAGAAAAGGTATGGAATCGAGGAGGAAGGAGAAAAGAAGGAAAAGGAGGAAGAGGAGGAGGAGAAGGAGAAGGAGAAGGAGAAAAGAAGGAAAGGAGAGGAGAGGAGGAGGAAGAGGGAGGAGCAAAAGGAGGAAGAGGAGGAGAGGGAGAAGGAAGAGGAGGAGGAGGAGAAGGAGAAGGAGAAGAAGGACGAGAAGGAGGAGGAGAAGGAGGAAGAGGAAAGGGCAATGGTAGGAGAAGGAAAAGGGAAAAAAGGAATAGAAAGCCATAATGTGAAACGAAGGAAGAAAGAGAGAGAGAAGAGAAGAACGAGTAAATAGGAAACAAAGGGAGGGAGGGGAGAAGGAGTGAAGATCTATCCATCTATTCACCTGTCTACCTATCTATCTAATCTATCTACCTATCCGCCGAGAGGAGAGGAGAGAGAATGGACAGAAGGCAAAGGCCAGAAGACGGAGATGGCTACACTGTCTGCAATTATCCGGCCAGTTAAGCAATGACGCCAGATTAGGGAAGCCACCTGTTGCTGTGGGGGCCTTGGGGGGGGGGGGAGGTTAGGATTCTGAGTAAGGAGGGTGGGGGTCGGGGAAGGGAGTGTGGGGGGGGGGGGGGGGGGGGATTACTGTCTGGCCGCCAAGTGACTGAATCCTGAACCAGTCTGTCTGTCTGTATGTCTGCCTC